TGAAGAAGTGACGAGACAAGAGTGTGAAGTGTGATGAGAAGAGCGAGTGTAAGTGCGATGGTTTTTTTTTATGAAAGGCTCGAGATCTCTGTAATTTTTGGAAACTTTATAAATCTTTGTAGTTTTATAACTTTATATCTTCAGATATTATTTTCTGGCTTGTATTTACTTTATGAATAGTATCTAAAATTTGTTTCAAGCAGTAATTGTTACAACTACACGAATCGAATAATACGGTATTTTTTACGAACTTCTTAACGTGTAATATAATAGAAATACATCTCCATAAAAAGAATACTGATGTCAACGGATCTTGAACTGAAAAAAAGGAAGAATGAGCTAAAAGGAGAAGAAAAAAGAGGAGGAGGAGGAGGAGGAAGAAAAAAAGAAATAGAAAGAAGTGAGTGAAAAAAAAACAAAAACGAAAAGCCCTAACTCTCCCACACCCTAAAAACAACAACAACAACAACAACAACATGAAAACGGCCACACTAGCCTCCCTTCCTCCCCCCGGGTATCCTCACGGCCTCGCCCCCACCGCGAGTTCTCTTCACCGGGACATCCAAAGCCAAGGACAGGAGGCGAGCGGTGACCCTATTCCTTTCATCACCTCAGGAGACGCTCGCCGAGGGGGGGGGGGCAAGGTTGACTCGTCGGCGCCTCCGTCATCAGGAGCTGGGCCTTCCGTTTTCCTTTTTTTTTTTTTTTTTTTTTTTTTTTTTTTTTTTTTTTTTTTTTTTTTTTTTTGAGGGTGGGGTGGGTAGAGGGGGAAAGGGGGAAGGGGGAGGGAGGGGGTGGAAGGGTAGATAAGCGCCATTTTGTCTACTGTTTTGTTTGGTGGGGATTTTTTTTTTCTTTTCTCTTTTTGCCTTTTTTCTTTCCGTTTATCTGTTTATTTTCGATTCGTTTTTTATCTGTCTTGGTGCTGTTAGTTTTCTCTCCCTCCATCCTCCATCTTTCTCTCTCCCTCTCTCTAACTCTCTCTCTTCCTCCCTCCCTCCCTGACTCCTTCCCTCCCCCTCCCTCCCTCCCTCCCTGTTATCCAATCCCCTCCCCTTCATCAGCAGCTCCTGTAGGCGGCACTGAAGGCCCTCCGTGTCATCAGCGCCGCCACCTTATACCTCGACGTCGACCTTGGCCTCGGAATGGTTGCTCCCTGGTGGCCTGATGGGGAGGGGGGAGGGGGAAGGGGAGAAAGGGAGGGAGGGTGGGTGGGAGGGGAGGGCAGGGCAAGGTGGAGGTCGACGGCGCACCTTCGTCTTGTTGTTCTTGTTGTTGTTGTTGTTCTGCTTCGATTTCTTTTTTTTTTTGTTCTTTGTTTTTCATCTTGTTATTTTCATCCTCTTCTTGTTTTTTCCTCCTCATCTTCTTCTTCATCCTTCTTTCTCATTTTCCTTCTTCTTCTTCTCCCTATCCACTCAGTCTTCTTTTTCTTCCTCTTCTTCTCTTCCCTATCCGTCTCAAGCTTCTTCTCCTTCGCCGTCTTCATCCTCCACCGGTGTTGAATTAGAAAGCTAAAGACAAACCGTTCAGCAAGTGCGTTTTTTTCGGTGTCTGGGATTTTTTTTTTAATCTATCCTTTGCCTACCTCTCCTTATCTCTCTCCACGCTCTTCGCCCGCGCGTTGAGACTAGACAAATGTAGCAGATAAATTCCTCTTCCCTTCTCTCTCTCTCTCTCTCTCTCTCTCTCTCTCTCTCTCTCTCTCTCTCTCTCTCTCTCTCTCTCTCTCTCTCTCCATCCCTTCTCTCCCTCTCCCTCTCCCTCCCCCCTCTTCTTCTCTCCTTCCCCCTCCTTTCCTTCTTCTCTCCCTCTCCCTTCCCCCCCTTCTTCTCTCTCTCCCCCTCTCCCTTCCCCCCTTCTTCTCTCCCTCCCCCTCTCCCTTCCCCCCTTCTTCTCTCTCTCTCCCTCTACCCCCTCCCCCGCAGAAAAAAAAGAACGCTAGGGACAATATTATGAATGAAAATGAATGAGATACCGTCGCTGGATCTGGATCAGTTGAATCAGCTGACGGATGTTTGATCGTACAGCTCGCGGGGGGAGGGGGGGGGGGAGAGAAGCTTGGTTGGGAGGTAGAAGGAGAGGAAGGGGGAGGGGTGTAGGTAGAGGGGAGAAGGAGGAGGAAGGAAGAGGAAGAGGAGCAGGAGGAGGAAGAAGAAGAAGAAGAAGGGGGGGTTGAGAGGAAAGACTGATCGTACGATCAAATTCCTCTAGTCGATGTCAAATACTCCCGAGCGTGTCCTTCGGTCGTCTTCTCCTGACCTCTGACCTCTGATTAGCCTTAGCAGAAATCCGAGTCATTAATCGTGGCCAAGGGGAGCCGGAAATTGGATTGTTCTTGCGGTCAAGGGAAAGAAATTCTCCGCGACTGATGGCTTCACCAAGCGCCATTATCTCTTGTTCTTTTCCTGTTTCTCCTTCCCTTTTTTTCTTCTTCTTCTATCTTCCTGTCTTGTCTGTCTGTCTGGTTTTCTCTCTCTCTCTCTCTCTCTCTCTCTCTCTCTCTCTCTCTCTCTCTCTCTCTCTCTCTCTCTCTCTCTCTCTCTCTTTCTCTCTCTCTCTCTTTCTCTCCCTCTCCCCCCTCCCTCTCTCTCTCCCTCTTTCTCTCACTCTCTATTCCCTCCTCTCTCCTCTTCCTCCCCTCCTCTCCCCTCTCTTCCCTCTTCGCTCTTTCTCTCCATCTTCCCCACTTCCCCCATCGCCAACTCCCACGCCGCGAGAAAAAAGAGAGTGTGGGAACGCCTCCCCGGTCGTGCTCTTCCGACGCTCACCTTATCCGCAAGAACAACACACGGCGGAAACTGCAGCTGCAATTGTGCCTTCCCGTGCCTGCTCAGCTGCCGGCGATGATGGAGATTGCAGGAGGACGGGCGAGAAGCGTGTCTGTAAACAAGGCTGACCTGCAGAAAAAGTGCCAAATTTTCTGCGAATCCGCGAGAGTGCTTCGCAAGGGGGTGGTGTGTGGAGTGTGGGGGGTGGGTGGGTGGGTGTTTCTGGGGGGAGGGGGAGGTCAACGTCCGGAAAATGAGATGCGTTTAATCTAGAGACGGTATTTGGGAATTTGAGAATTATAGTGGCAAGGGAGGACGAAGGTGAGATGAAAAAAACGAGTACTGGAAAATTATTAATATACACATATTCTCTCTCCCTCTCTCTCTCCCACACACACACATGCTAAACTAAGAACAACCTTCAAGTTAGCTAATGTTAATAGACTCGTTCATTCAGGAACACGCGATCGCATTGCTGTTAGTTTATGTCATCTTCTCTCTCTCTCTCTCCATCCCTTCTCTCCCTCTCCCTTCCCCCCTTCTTCTCTCTCTCTCCCTCTACCCCCTCCCCCGCAGAAAAAAAAGAACGCTAGGGACAATATTATGAATGAAAATGAATGAGATACCGTCGCTGGATCTGGATCAGTTGAATCAGCTGACGGATGTTTGATCGTACAGCTCGCGGGGGGAGGGGGGGGGGAGAGAAGCTTGGTTGGGAGGTAGAAGGAGAGAAGGGGGAGGGGTGTAGGTAGAGGGGAGAAGGAGGAGGAAGGAAGAGGAAGAGGAGCAGGAGGAGGAAGAAGAAGAAGAAGAAGAAGAAGAAGAAGAAGAAGAAGAAGAAGAAGAAGAAGAAGAAGAAGAAGAAGAAGAAGAAGAAGAAGAAGAAGAAGAAGAAGGGGGACACACACACACACACACACACACACACACACACACACACACACACACACACACACATACATTCGCAGAAAGAAAGAAAATATGCACACGCTTCCCCGCAAAGTTCCCAAATCATATTCCAACCAAGTGATGCAACAACACACAAAGCCAAAATATGGTATGTGATGACATTTATTTCATTGTTTATTCGTGTTTGTGCAATGTACGCGTCGTTGCCTGACACGCCTCTTATTGCAAAACATCTTATTGCTCACTTTATATGAACCAGAAGACATCAACTTGCTAAACTAAGAACAACCTTCAAGTTAGCTAATGTTAATAGACTCGTTCATTCAGGAACACGCGATCGCATTGCTGTTAGTTTATGTCATCTTCTCTCTCTCTCTCTCTTTCCCTCTTTCATTCTTCTCTTCTTCCTTCTCCTTTTCCTCTTCCTCGTCCTCGTACTCCTCCTCGTCCTCCTCCTCCTCCTCCTTCTTCTTCTTCTTCTTCTTCTTCTTCTTTTTCTTCTTCTTCTTCTTCTTCCTCTTCATCTTCTTCTTCTTCTTCTTCCTCTCCTCCTCCTCCTTCTCCTCCTCTTCCTTCTTCTTCACTCACTCGTTTATCATCACCATTTTGCTGTTTTATCTGCGCGTGTGTGGTTTGTGGCGTTGGCTTTGTGACCGAGATTTAGAGTTTAATACCCCGCATAATGCACCCTCGTCCGAAGACTCTGGGCTAGATATTCAACAGCAACAAATGCCCGTCCTAACGCTTGGGATCTTGTGTCCACATCATAAACATGCTTGTAGATGTTTAGTACCGAGGCGACTGGGTTGAGAATATGATATAACTATTTTTGCTGATTACTTCTAACAAGGAAGTGATGTGTAAGTCTAATATTGGTAATCTTATGAATGATTCATATTTACAGTATATTGCGGCGTGTGTGTGTGTGTGGATCTGTAGGCATGTGTACATACACACATATATACATATATATACACAAGTAAGCATACATATACATATAAAAGCACAACGAACTGTTTCATTTGTAGAATTGTGTTCTGAGCACCTACATAATATGCAATTATTATTATTTTATCGTTATTGTTGTTATTATTATTATTAATACCATTGTCAAGATCATTATTATCATCCTGATCATTATCATTATTATCATTATCATTACCAAGATCATTATTATCATTATCATTACCAAGATCATTATTATCATTATCATTACCAAGATCATTATTATCATTATCATTACCAAGATCATTATCATCATCCTGGCCATTATTATTATTATCATTATCATTAACGCAATTCCTTCCTTCCCCCGCGCAGGACGTTCCCACGACTCCACCTTCTCGCTGTTCACCCTGGGAGAGGACGCGTCGGAAGGCCTCAAGAAGTTCGCCGAAGCGGGAGACACGAACCTCCTCGACGCCCACAGCCAAGGATCCGGGGGCGTCCTCGATGAATTCAATGCTCCTCCGATCCCACAGGGCGTTGGGGAGACGTCAGCTGACTTCTTCGTTGATGGGAATCACTCAAAGGTACGTCGGGAATTTAGGATTTTTTTGTAGTTGATATTAAGTTTGTTTGTTTGTTTTTTGTTGATCTTTTCATTGGTTATGAGGATTTCGGTATTTTTACGTCTTTTATCTTCAGTGGATGATTAATGGCATTCGGATGATAATAGATGAATTCATAAATAGATTAAACGCACATTTTTTTTACCGTTTTCATACAAAAGCGTTGATGAAACACCTCTTAAATCAACCTCAGAGTAAAATTAATCTTTCCTTTTTTTTATCTCTTCAAAGGTGTCGCTGATCTCCCGCGTGGTGCCTTCTCCTGATTGGTTCATCGGCGTGGATTCCTTCGACCTCTGCGTGGAAGGGAAGTGGGTGGAGTCAGTCGTGCTTGAGGTGAGGCCCGTTTTCTTTAATTGCAGAGTCCCCGTTTTCTGTGTATTTCCTTTTCTTTAAAAGTGAAATTCGTGTTTTCTGTGTATTTCTTTTCTTCAGAGTGAAGTTCACGTTTTCTGTGCATTTCTTTTCCGTAAATATCAAGTCCCCGTTTCCTGAGTATTTCTTTTCGTTAGTGTGAAGTTCATTCTTTCTGTGTATCTGTTTTCTTTAAGTGTGAAGTTCTCGTTTACTCATCCACCACCTCCTCCTCCCCCTCTCCCAGCTGGACCCCCTCGATGCCGGCACAGACAACGGATTTACCTTCACGTCACCGAACTGGCCGACCATCCCGAAGAAGCCTGTGAGCCGAATTACCGCCCAGACGCCCGACCACCCTGCCAACTCCTTCTACTACCCCGACCGCACGGAGCACCCGCCCATCGCTACTATTCGCATCTTCAAGGTGAGTTTTGTGGGCTTGTGGGATTGTGGGGTGTTAGTTTGCTGGGTGCGGGGTTGTGGGCGTGAGTAGGATATGTAATGAGGATGGAGAGAAGGACCTTTGGGCAGCGGAAGGATGCCAGGGTATGAAAGTGGGAGGGGCACCGGGCAAGGAGTTTGGAAGGGGCACGTGGAAGTGAGTATAGAAAATTTGTCACATTGCAGAGGTGTTTGTAAGAGAAATGAAATGAAGAACGACGTGAGAATGAATTACGTTAAAATATTTATGTAAATCAATAAAACAGTAAGGCAAAGTAATGGGAGAGTAGATAAAAAAGATAACACAAGAAAGTGTAAGAAGGTGGAGAAAAAGAAACACTTGAAACTGGAGATACAAGATAAACGAAACAAGGACCGAACACTAAACGTAGCAAAGATAACAGGGACTAATGAGTGTTTCGGGAATAGCATTTAAGTAACAGCTACTTACACTGCCCAACTAACCGGTCTTCAGGAAGTTAACAAATGCAGACGTTCAATTGCAGAAATTGCAGGAGGTAATGGTCTACATTTAGAAAGTAGGCGGGCCGTTGTCTCACACTAATGAGGGTTGTGTTTGAGGTTAATGACCATAAATGACTTAATTCAGTGGTTTAGCCTTGTTAGCTAAACTATGGGAATACAGATATGTGCTGTGGAGTTTAGTCAGGCGGTCGTTGTCCTGTGTACGTTAGATAAAAAAAAAGGTTGATGCGCACACACACACACACACACACACACACACACACACACACACACACACACACACACACACACACACACACACACACATACACACACACACACACACACACACACACACAGAGGCTCAGTCAAACCAAAACAATAGTGTAAGGAACAAGGTCTTCGTGTCCATCCAGTGATGGTTTTGAGAACGATCATCACCGCAGATGCAGACGTGCGCATCGGCTGGAGCAGTGAGTCTGATGGAACACTCCTCCTCCTGGCGTCTGCTGGCAGCTACCACCATCCTGCTTCTGTTCTTCCACTTGTCACATCCGGGACTACCGCTGTAGTGACGAATCAGCTGTTGAGGAATCAGCTGTTGGCGAAACATCTGTTGGCGCATCAGCTGTTGTCGGATCAGCTGTTAGCACATCAGCTGTTGACGAATCAGTTTTTGACAAATCAGCTGCTTTTTTTTTGAGTAGAAAAGTGTTGAAAGGATTTTTTGCGAGGGGGAGGGGGAGGAGGAGGGGTCGCACCAAAGACACTTTCTGAGAGTCGCCGATTTAGTTGTGAAAGAGTCTGAAGTATGGAGATAGGGAAGCTGTGCATCTCGATAGATAAGATTTGCGCTCGTGTTTCCCGTGTAGGGTTTAAGTAATCCTAACTAACTAGTTTTGTATACTGTTTTAGGTTCATGTGTGTCAGTTTTGTTTTACTAATACTGTAATGATAATGTTTACATTGTTTGCTTGAAAATAAACACATCATTGTGTAGCGTCTGAGAGTCTAAATTTTATGAGTCCCAGTTAGAAAAAAAAACCCTACAGGCCATACGTAAGTAACTTAGGCACCCATGAAAGAATAAAGTAGACGTAGACGTAGCAAAAAAGAAATGGCAATAATAATGATGATGATGATGAAGATGATGATAATAATAATAATAATAATAATAATAATAGTGATAATAATAATAATAATAATAATAATAATAATAGTTATAATAATAATAATAAACGCCAATATCCAATGCAACCACAGAACTCGCCCTCTGAGCGCTACCTCATACCCTCCCTTTCTCTCCTTTCTCCGACAGATCAAAGAGTACGAGCTGGCGCGTGTGTACAACCCTTCCCTCGGCCGATCTCCCGAGCGCCGCTACCGCACAGGAAGCATTCCCACGACCCCAGAGCTCGAGGAGAACCGAGACCAAGAAGTGAGTAACGAGATCTTCCCAGCTACCGGCCTTACCACGCCTACTACTACCACCACCACTACTACTACGGAGGTCCCCAAGCATGCACTCATCAACACCATTGTTGACAAATACAGGAAGAAGTTTAGAAAGAACAGGAATGGCAGAAAAATGGCAACTCGTAAGTGTGACGACAAGTGATAGCCATCCAATGCTTTGTTTGCTTGTTAGGTCTTTGGCTTTCGTGGGAGACTTGGCTTGGCACTTTCCAAGTCTCTCGTAACGAGCGGATTTTCTTGAGGAGTTGTATCATTTATTCGACAAAGAAGGGATTAGATTAAAGTATCTTGAGATTTATCATTTAATTTATATTTTTTCATGTTTATTCAACATAGCCACACTTAATGATGTGTGGATATCCTCACGAATTCGCCCTGCCATGTTATGTTGTACAGTTTCGCCACTAATACAGTTTGCATGTTAGAGAATAGTGACTCACTGAACCCAAACCTTTCTGTAAAAAATCGAATTAATTGATGTAACTATATTTCTCCTGTGATGGATTTTATTGACATTCATCATCGCTAATTTTTCATTTGTCTAAAACTCACCAAAGCGAGTTGAAATGTAAAACTATTACAAGAGAGGACATCATTCGAGACGAATTTTGCTTCACGAGAACAATATTTACTGACTAAATTAACAGGCATGCCTTGTTTTTTATGGTGTGTGGATTTGAATAGATAAAATATGTATATACGTATGTATAAATATATATATATATATATATATATATATATATATATATATATATATATATATATATATATATATGCATATATATGCATATATATGTATAATATATATATATATATATATATATATATATATATATATATATATATATATATATATATATATATGCATATATATGCATATATATGTATATATATATATATATATATATATATATATATATATATATATATATATATATGTATGTATGTATGTATGTATGTATGTATGTATATATATGTATATATATGCATATAGAAATATATATGTATGTGTACGTCTATATATATTGGTATTGATATTGATCTTGATATTGATATGTTGCTCTTTCGTGTCATGATTATTATATAAGTCTTATAAATGTAATCAGTAAAGGAATGATTAAACTATAAAGGAATTCTCGTTTGCATCTATTAAATTGTATCATAAATAAACGATATCAAAACCAGCAAGTCACTGGCCATATTGAGATCACAGTAATATAAATAGTCGTTAGTAAACAAGGTTTTTATATCTATTTCGACCCTGAAAAAGACGCAAAAAAAAATAAAGATAATAAATACTTGCTGGTTGGGATATCTGCCATGCCTAAATACCTAAATATCGTTTTTTTTATAAACCAGTTATCAGTTCTGTGAAGCAATGCAACAGAGCCGAGAGTTCAACAGTGTTTTGAAATTGATAAAAAAAAAATAACACCAAAATTTCTCCAGGCCGAAGACGTGTACGCGGGCCTCGTGATTGCCGTGTGAGCGAATGGTCCGAGTGGTCCTCCTGCAGCAAGACCTGTGGCATCGGTGACCAGGTGAGTGGGAAGAGAGAGGGAGAGGGAGAGGGAGAAGGGGAGAAAGGGAGAGGGAGAGGGAGAAGGGGAGAAAGGGAGAGGGAGAAGGGAAGAGAAGGGGAAGAACATATAAAAAAAAGGCGGGGGGGGAGGAGAAAGCAAGAAAGAAAAAGAAAGACACACTTGAGTTTATTCAGTAAGGACATGAATATATCTATCCACATATTTACCTACCTGTCTCATCAATATCTCTCAATCTACACATACTTATAAACCAATCGCTATTCGCCACAGATCCGCACCCGAACTGTCCTGAGGCACTCGAGACGCGGAGGCCGACCTTGCCCCAACCTGCAGGAGACCCAGTGGTGTGGATCCTCAAGAGATTGCGACCACAGATATTTCAACTGGTAGACTACGATTTGGAAGACAAGGAAGACGAAGAGAGAATAAATGAGTGAGTGAGTGAGAGAGAGAGAGAGAGAGAGAGAGAGAGAGAGAGAGAGAGAGAGAGAGAGAGAGAGAGAGAGAGAGAGGCTGACTGACTGCCTGTATTATATTCTATGTTAATCATATGATAATAATAGCAAATTAGTGCGCATTCAAACCTACACGTCCATGTAATTTTTAGTAAGTGAGAAAACAACAACAACAACAACAATTTCATTTTGCATATTTAAGTTTGATTAACAAGCGAAAGGGTTTTTTGAAAATGAATAAATAATAATAGTATGTTAATTCGGCTCACCAGTGATTTTAATAGAGTATCGTTAACATGTTTGGGAAATTGTATCATGAAGTGCCAAATAGAAATTCCTTTGAAAATGACTTTTGTAAATTAATTGTCACAGTTGTTAATAGGTATGCACATTTCTGTGTCATTTATACGAGCAGATATTGTATTAATAATTCTATATTAATTATATCAGGAAAATGTAGATATTTTTTATTGATATTGTTAATAAATAGTTTTTTTAATAATAATTTTAAATCTTATATAGCAGGCTGGTAGTAGATATATGTCAGCTATAACCGCCGATGAATATGTAGTATCGATACCTACACTGGTGATAATAATCCTAATCGTAGCCGGATTATAGAGAAAAGTATGTACGTAAATCCACTTCTGATGCATTGTGGAAGTGGGTGTGCAAAGCCCCTAGACTTTCACGCGCTGATCCTTCTGATGAAAACGAATTTCTGGGGGAGAAATGACTGACTCTGTAAAGGCACTGTTTAATTGTGATCTCTAATAGTAATATTTTTTTTTTTGTTTAAATCTAATCTTCCTTTTTTTTCAAGGGATTTCAGTATCAAAATCAAAAGAACTCTTATCGCCATGCGGATAACGAGCATTCAACAATTTATTTTTGAATTTGATTTACATTGTTCTGACATTTAATGACTAGTTTGTTTGCCAATATTTCTCTAAACCCGAAACAGGTATACAAGTGTAAGTATAACATTATACACACACACACACACACACACACACACACACACACACACACACACACACACACACACACACACACACACACACACACACACACACACACACACAGGTACATATATACAGATGCATACATACATACATGTGTACACACACACACACACACACACACACACACACACACACACACACACATATATATATAAGCACATATATAAGCATTTATAAGCACAAGTATACAAGTTTAACTTTTGCAGAAATTTAGGCAACTTAAAACGATTTCTTGCCATCTCACAGAGACCCGTATTTCGCTTGTATATAGCCCCTGCATTGAAACCACCGAGAGTGCTGCAGCCAATACGTTTTAGAAGTCCTAACGAGGCCTGCAGTCACATGTCCCCTTCTGTTCCCCTGTGTGTAGAATCGTTAGTGTTAGCTGAACTCTGAGAGAAAAAAAAGAACAATTTTGATTTTTTTTTTTCTATCTGAATTGAATCGGTTGCTGTTTTAATAAAAATGGTTACCATTATTTTATACAATTGGGCAATGAGTAACGATCAGACACTTAGTGTTCTGCATATAGGGTTTTCTATGTAATTTCCTTCAGCACGGACATTTCAAACGGTTTCCACTGAGCTTATAAGCTGAAACTTCTCTCCACAGCACCACTTCTTCCTTCCTCCAAAAGTTGACTCAAATTATTATCATCTTTATCGTTATTTTCTTGTAGCCCAATAGCCCACCAAAACTCGAATCTCGGTCTGTAATTTTCTTCCATGCTTCGTTCTTTCTTCCTCCGAACGAGTATGATTTTCCTCTTCATGTATATTGTACATAAAGTCCAATTTAGCTTAAGTGCTTTGTGAATATTCGAAGGTTTAAACGTCACTTAATACACACTTATACGTTAACACAGGAATAGACAAATTATAATAATGTAATCAAAGATAATGGAGAAGAGAACTGCTGTTTGTCTTCAGATATTAATGTACTTTTAAATACTAAGAAAAAAGAACATCCATTTTATATATATTGTGATCTTTGGGAATGGAAAAGGGCGGAATAGTTTATATGGAATCATGAATACCTTTTTTATTTTCTTTTTTTCTCAAAATTAAAAGAAAGTAGAAGAGTATATACAGAGAATAAAGAGATTTGTTCTAAAATATTCAAAGATCCGTATGTTAGAAAAAATATCCCATGATCACAATGTGTGCCTGTTAATGCTGAGAGAGAGAAACTGTGTATGATGTTGGAATCAGCTGTTTTGGTGCAGTTGAATGGTATCAAAATTTTTATATTTATGAAACTTTTTTGGATGTTATTTATGTGAAATTTTGTATATGGAATGTGAATACCCTTGTAGTGTGAAGTGTGAATGTGTCAGCAATGTCAAGATGTGATTATATATTGATATTACAAACTATATCGACTTTTTTGTCTATCAGAGATGCATTTTATACAGCAATGTGTGCATAGTCACAAAATTATTTATGTGTTAGGTAAACGATCATTGTATATGCAGACTGTATTTCTA